GATTTTGATGATTTTTTTATAGCTACACTCCTTGACCCTATATGAATACAATGACTCAATTTGATCTTTAATTTAAAATATTTACACTAGTGGATACCACAAAATCTTATGTTATATTTAATAAAAGTATAAATAAACTCTTAATTGTTAGTGAATATATTGTTTTGATGGCATACGCATTCTATGAAACAAGTTTCAACGATCCAACCGTCAAATTTGTTTGTTTACACTTCGAGATCATATATGCCAAAAATCGAAAAAATAAAACATTCAGAGATTAAGTAATAGGACAAAACTTTTTGACGGTTATAAACGAAAAATCACGATTTAACGGTTATTTCAACTCTGATTTTGATGATTTTTTTACAGCTACACTCCTTGACCCTATATGAATACAATGAACCAATTAGATCGTCAATTTAAAATATTTACACTAGTGGATACCACAAAATCTTATGTTGTATTTAATGAAAGTATAAATAAAAAAAGGGTCGTCTATTGTGAAGTACAGATGACGGTTTTTTTAAAAAAAGGGTCGTCTATTATGAAGTAAAGATGACGCTTTTTTAAAAAAAGGGTCGTCTATTATATGTTAAGATGAAGGTTTTTTTTAAATGCGTCGTCTTTTAAAACACGCTAAAAAATGGCCGCTTAAGTGAATTCGCGCTCGACAAATTTTCAAATTTTCACCCGTCTTTGAAAACCTTATCTCTCATTAACAAGCGTCGTCTTTTAAAACACGCTAAAAAAAGGCTACTTAAGTGAATTCACGCTCGACAAATTTTCAGATTTTCCCCCATCTCTGAAAACCTTATCTCTCCCTCCTTGAAACCCTCCTGCACTCTTTAAAACACCCTCATGAAACTCTCTACAAAATTATCAAAAAATCGATATCAATGAAGGAGTTGAGAGATTGAGGTCTTCGCAGATCCATAAGATGTAGATGGAGGTTCTGTATTTGAGAATCAAAGCTGATTGAAAGGTTTGATTTGAAAGATCTCGACCTTCACTTTCTTCAAAGAAGATCTCGCTCCCAGGCACTCAACTCGCTCATCAAACTCAGCGACTAGATCTAGAAAGACTTATGGAAATCG